AAATCCAAAATCTCCCAAGTTTGCTCATTCTTCCCCCTTCCGTAACACACACACAAAAAAGCAATTACTTTTGACAACTATAAAATCATTCTGTTGTCTCCTGAATGTATTTCATTCCACTTTTGTCTGTCTAAAACACTACTACTAAATTAATGTATTTTGCTTCCTCCAAGACCTAAGTAACACAATACTTTTCGTGGTCATGCAAAATCTCCCAAGTTTGCTCATTCTTCCCCCTTCCGTAACACACACACAAAAAAGCAATTACTTTTGACAACTATAAAATCATTCTGTTGTCTCCTGAATGTATTTCATTCCACTTTTGTCTGTCTAAAACACTACTACTAAATTAATGTATTTTGCTTCCTCCAAGACCTAAGTAACACAATACTTTTCGTGGTCATGCTTCCATGATGCTTTGACTTCTCTCTATTACTTCTTCAAACACATTTATCCCAAAGTCCTCCAAAGGGTATTAATTTTCACTGAAATGCATTAATGCATTGGCATTTAAAATAAAAGTAAAGACCTGAGGAGGATTTAGAGGTTTCCATGTCCTTTACCTGTACAAGCATTTTCAATTAATTACCTTCATTTTCTCTTGCTGATATGTTGTCCTACCCAAACAAGACTGGGATGTCTAGACCTAGTTACCTTTTGAAGATTTGGAACACTTGGGAGCACAGACGTGACACAAACCAAAGAATAACTGAGTCTGTTCTGTGTCTGGTTCTACAGGGAAAACATGACTTCAGCCTCAGTATGAATATGAGGCAAAGGTGAACAAATATCAAAGTCATACCAAGCAATGGAGAACTGATACCCCAGAATCTGGAATGTGTTTCAACACACACATATATCACTTTTAATAAATAGAATCCTTCAAGTTGAGAGAGTAGGTTTTATTTCTACGTTTCACAGAAAGCACATACCCTGTGTAGCTTTTCTCTTCTCTCATCAGAGTCTGGCATGCCCCTGAGGCTTGGAGGGATATACCAGAAACAGACATTTGTATGCTCTGGCTGCAAAAAGAACCAAACACATACGTTGATAAACAAAATAATACAGATCAATCACATGCTAAAGGTGAGTCAGTAGCATTTCTTAGCACAGACATGAAAGACAAAATATAGAATTAACTTTCCTAGTTCTGCATGTTAAACCAAAAGAAATGGATTGCAGTACTGCTGCTTGCAGCTGCTGTCTTGGGTTCCCTAAAAAATCCCATTTACTTAGTGTGCTAGCAAAGTGCTAATGCCTTTCTCCTTCAGGCAGCTTTATGAGGAACTGTTTGCCAGGATTGCAGCAAGGGCAACACAGTCCTCCTTTTCTTAGGAAATGGAGAGATGAGTTATATTCTACCACCCAAGGGTTTATGTAGTGGCACTAGCAACAGAACATACAAACAGAACAACAGAACATAGCAAAAGTAGCAGTGTGCTAGCAAAGTGCTAATGCCTTTCTCCTTCAGGCAGCTTTATGAGGAACTGTTTGCCAGGATTGCAGCAAGGGCAACACAGTCCTCCTTTTCTTAGGAAATGGAGAGATGAGTTATATTCTACCACCCAAGGGTTTATGTAGTGGCACTAGCAACAGAACATACAAACAGAACAACAGAACATAGCAAAAGTAGCAGTATAGCAGTTCTGTGTGTAACAATGTGGGACCTCAGCGTGAGTAGATCTTATGAAGGTAGTCTTCGTGCCCTAAACTGACAATTCCTCTGCAGAAGAGGGGGAGATAAATCTGACATTTATGGAACAAAACCACATGCATCTTTCCAAAAAAACCTAGCCAGATAACAACAATCATGTAGTTCTTAAGAAAATCAGAGCAGTTTTGCACAGCTGGCTTGAAGAACTGTGTGAAGCATGAGTACTGGTTTTGAAATTCCTGCATTTGTGAAAGAAAACTTACCTCTCCTTCAAAAACCATCTCAAATTCTTCTCTGTTTTTGATTTTAGTGTAGAGATATTCTGCCAGCTCCAGGCATTTGTTGATCTGATTTTCAAAGCCTACTGTACCCTGTTTTCAAAAGAAAGTAAGCAATAATGTTATGGTCATTTTCTCTCTGATGCAATCATCTTTTCAGACAGGCTTCATTCTTTAAAATTTTCGGTCAGGAAACATTTAGCAGTATTATTTATTGTCATTTAAAAGAGTAGTTAATCAACGCTACAAAAGTGGTTAAATGTGGCTGAACTGTAATCATTATTTGGTTTTGCCTCATTTTAAGATAGTTTATTATGATAATAACAAGGACTTTTGCTATTTTTAATAGATTATTTTGGGTGTCTTTTTTTTTCCCAGTTTCTAAAACTGTTATGAATATTAAAGTCTTGGTTTCACAGCTGTTGCTGAAAGACTAAAAACTTGGAATGGGAACTCAGTTGAAAGGGTAAGAATTGGGAAGCCATTTATTTCCTCTGAGCACTTTGCTAGAAACATGCGTTTAAGACAGCAAGCAAAATCTACAATGTATTTGCTAGAAGTCACTTGTCTAACTCACTGTCTTTTGTCAGAAAAAAATACATGAATATTGATAATAAATAAAACAAGGGGAAAAGTGTGGGGGTTTTTTAAATACACTTTCTGCATGCATGAACAAGCAAGACCTTCCTCCCAAAGTGAAAATTGCTTTATGATTGTACATTTCATTATATTTAATCTCAGTTTTATAAAAAAAAGATTAGATTGTGGACAGTTTACTCAACTGAATTCCCATTTTGTCAGCAGAAGAGCAAGAAGAACAGTAATGAGGTGACTGTAGATAAAGCAATAAAAATGAAATGTGTTTTCTCGACTACATGGACCCTCATCCTGTGCATGTGTAAGCCTGTACATAAGCCCATGCTCAAATTCAGCCACCCAGGCATACCACAGTCATACCAGGTAATCAACTGTTAAATCACCAATTGGGCAAAGCTTCATAAGAAAAAGGCCTTGTTTTCCAAGTTGCTTATAAAAAACTGTGCATTGAAACGTCATGTTCAAAGGACCCTTGTAAGTCACCAAGGCTACTCTGCTGTTACAAGTACTCTGTCATAGAATACATATGGATGTGTACAGATCACAACAAAAGACCATTTTGGTGTCCTGCCCTCACTCGTTTTACTGCAGAAAGATTTAAACCTTTCTTCTAATTGCCACCTGAATTTACTCATGGCTAACATTGTTCTACAATTCAAATAGCTCTTTTCTGACTTTTACTCAGAGACCTGTGTGTTTAGGGATGGTAATTACACTAACATTTACCTTAAAATAAAGTGTCCCATTACATGAGACTTACACATTAAACAAAGACATTTCTGGGTTATGAGCTAAACTTTTGTTATTTACCTTTGCTTTCCACATCAACCAGAACTTGAAAATGTCCACGTGTCGACCACACTGTATTGCCTTATCTCCAGTGTCATAGGAGACATCATACTGCTTGTCTGGCTGGAAGAGATAACCTGCACACATCTGGTTGCAGCCTTGAAGTATACCCTGTCATGAAAAACAAGTACTTATATGGCATACATGCATAAGAAACTATGCAATAACAATGTATGAAAATGTATTTCAAACATATACAGAACAATTATTCTTTAATGGGCCATATTATCACATACTGACTTTGTTTTGTAAACCTGAGCCACAAAAATAATTTCAGAACCTAAGGTGGTTCTCTTACAAGGCCCTGAGGAAACACTTGGTTTTACACACCCACACCTGAAGAAACATTCTCAGATTAATTTGGAGACTTAGTTTTGGATACTAACTTTGTCCACTTCAATTTGTAAGGTATGTTCTCACCACTTAGATCTCTGATTTGTTAAATTGCACACTAGAATACAGCTGTGGTCTCTCAGTGCAACAGACAGCCACACAAAATGAAGTGAAAAACACTTAACTGAAGGTTTCAACTTGTCCAGCTTTATGACACTTAACATTGGTTATAAATATAAGCACAGATTACCTAAACTGGATATTTTTTGCTTACAAATAAATATGGTTCACAGACCAACAGAAATCTATGGATTACTGGCAAAAATCGCTGAAGGAAAAACAGAGGAGCAAATTCCTGTATGTTACACAGAAGTCCTGCACATGTAACATTTCTAAAATGGTTTGCATCTCCTCTAGAGTTTATTAGGGGGTTTGGGAACAAACTCAAAGTCACTGGTGTGAATGGTAAATACAAAAAAACCCAGCAAAGTTCTCATATAGAGAACAACTCCACTGAAAACCCTGCAATAGCTGGCACAAAAAGCATGCATGCCACTGGACAGAGGCTAGTGCTTCCCTCCAACAGAGGTGTTTTATAAAGGGAAATAAATGCTGCAGACTTCAGTTTAGAGATGGAGTGACTGGAAGCACAGTGTCAGTTCTAGGGCTGGAACTCCCAACTCTTCATCCCAGTTCTATACACAGGGACTACTTATTCAGCTAAACCCTTCTAGTAGCAATTGACATGCCAGAAATTAGTAGACAGTATAATTAGTCCTATTCACAGATGATACGACTTTCATCATCTAAGAAAAATGCATATTGCTTTAAAGAAATAAGATACTGGTCTTGCTGCCATTGATGGCAAAGAAGAATCTAGATGAAAGCCCTAAAAACAGAGAGTCATAATAAAAGCATCATGTTTTTTTTCAACAGAACTAAGAAACTTTTAAACCCCGTGTAAGGTTAAAAAATTGCTTTTTATTTAAGCAATTTAGACTGTGACCAAGTACTGAGACCAAGGGTGTATGTTCAGTATATCACAGAAACAATGGGGTGGGTGCTCAGACGAAGCATATTAGCATGGCTCGTTGTTGCTATTAGCATATGCAAAGATCCAACAGCTAAAGATCTGACTCATGCTGTCTACAGCTTTAACAAAAAAAAAAAAAATAAAAGCAAAGCCAAAAAAGCCAGGAAACATAAAACAACTTCCTAAATACAATGTAAATTCACACAATTATCCCTTCCAAACTCTGTTTTGAAATTTAATGCGTTTTGCACTACCCTGTTAAGAAGTAGGGCTTGATATTTACTTTTCCTTTTTCTGCAATGCTTAATTATTAAATATAAGGCAGACCTTCTCCCGGACAAGAATGGCAGAACATTGTAACAACACTCCCATCATCTTGTGTGGATTCCAAGTGACTGAGTTGGCTCTGCAAGAAAATGACACATTCAGATAGGCCTGGAAAACAGAAACTCAACCTGAAGCAGTCACCTTTGTTTTCTGCTTTCAGCTGGAAATATATGGAGTTTTGACAGTGGTGATATCACTATGGAGATTATTACTGTCTCAGGTGTCTTCTTTCCCATCTATGCTGCCCAGGAAAGGAATTTTTTCACACTGACATTGCAATGTCAGACTTGTGATTAGTTTGTATTATGACCAACACCAGCTAATTAGTATCAGACTGATTAGCCGATACAGTAACATCAACCCCAGGAGACTCCACTTCTAGAAATAGCACTAATAAAAATAACAAAACCAGTTTGACAGATTCTATCAATTCAAGGTGCTGACTGGGGAAGTGTCAGAGGTTTAAGGGACTAATATGAATTCTGGGAGAATATAGTACTTTACTGAACAGCTGCTGGAAAAGTAGAAAGCAAAGGAAAATACACTCCATATGTTTATCTGCTTGCCCAGTTAGAGCCACAGCTCTAGCTTGCTAAGCCCATGGACTAGAAAAGGCTCTAAAACTACATCATAATCCTACCATTATGTATTTAAAGCTTAAAACTTTTTAGGTACAAACACCTTAAGACCACTTAATTTACTAGTCAAACAGATGAGATGTTCTGTATTTTTAACATACTGTCCTAGACAGTTTAATGATGATGCTAAAATAAATGTGCCAACATTGCACATCCATTGACCTCTTCACCTCAAGTCATTAATTACCAAATGTCCCCTTGATTCACTGCTCATTCCAGTGAAGAAAAGTGCATCATTGTATTTCACAGACTATGCATGTGTTCTTACAACATGGTTGAAAGAAAATTAAAAGGTATTTCATCATCATCTACACCCTGCTCTCAGAGGACACAGATACAACCACAGTTCCTCTGATTTGAGCAACACAATGACTTCTTCACCCCAGTCTGAGGACCACTAATTTCTAGATATGATTCTAACTCCCATCTGTGCTAAGTTAGACTGTAGCACTCCTCAATCAAAAGAACAGTGCAGTCTGTGCTGCACCTGGGGAGTTCACCATCCCCCTAAAGTCTCCTGCTTAGGCAGTGCAAACCAGCAGATACATGGCTTGGACTCAGGAGCCAATTACCTTTTAAAAAAATTCACTAATAGTCCAGATGGAGTAGTCAAGAAACAGGAATTTATATAACAGCTGATTTCCTTTTAGAAACACCATGGCTTCGGTTTAGTATGTTTCCTTAACTTTCAAGGTTCCTGACAAAGAGAGTTCCAAGTCATTTTTCCCACAAAGAGCACTAGGTTTATTTTAACATGGATATATCCCTCTCTGCTTGGTGCAGCCAGCCCGAGTCTATCCCACCCCTGGCAGTCCCAGCTCCATGCCACAGCACCATGCCAGTCATTCATGCCCATGTCCCAGAGCAGGCCAAGTATGACCTGAGTGCTGACAACAGACCCCAGCTGGGGCCCAGGGCAGTCAATTACCAGCACACTGGGCCCCATCCCATGTGTGGAGCTCCCTACAGCTGATAGGGAAAAAATAATTTCATGCTTCATGGTCTGCTGCTTTTTCTGTATTTGCTTAAAATTATGGCCTTAATTAGCACCTCTGGGTTGACCTCAGGTCAAAAGAGGTGTGCCATACTCCCGTGACGAAACCTGTATAGCTTAAGAGAATTATTTCACAATGCTGACCTCATATTAGACATGTTGCCATGAGTGACTAGGACATTGGATTGGGCAGAGCTTGATAGGATTCTGCTACTTCAGTGTACTCCTGCCTCAACACACACTGCTGTGCTTGTGACAGAAGGGTCCACATGTTTTTCCCGCCAGTCCTTCTGTACACTATTCTTTACCTCGTACTTATTCTTCACTTACTGCATAAGATGCTCAACACTAGGAAAGCTTGTTTTCCCCAAGGAAGACCATTGCTCACTGTACTTATTTCACACCTTTACACAGTGCCCACATTCAGCATGATTGAGTCAAGGAAGCAATTTGGTGCTAATTTGAGGGTACATGGGTAGAGCTTCTTTCACGTATTTTTTGCTTCCCTGGAGGCTGATATCTGCAATCATGGGAAAGATCTTAAGCTTCTGGTTCTACATTGCTTTCTGGTTTATTGGGGTTTTTTGTCTGTTTTGTTTGTTTTGGGGTTTTTTTTCAGATGGGCAGCATTTTATGATGACTAGTTTCATGGGAAATCTAGAGACAAACACACCCATGGGATTATAAACATAGCATCTTCTACAGACTTGTCATAACTCGCTATGGGAACAACTGTGTCAAAGACTACACCTGGAATGACGCCTGAGTCTGAATTGCAAGGGCCAGAGGGAGGGTCACACTCTCACTCTACTGTCACTACCAACACAAATATTTTGCCTCTTTAAATTTTGTTCAATCGATGATTAATTAAAGGCTGGATTCTGATCCCAGTGGACATCTTGGTAACCTGGGTTATGTACCTGGGTGCACAAACGTGATCTTTTCTCCAGACCTCACTCTAGCCTCTACAAGAGCTTCCTGCTCTTTTCATGTAATCCCCACATGGCCCAACTCATAGCCCCTGTGCCCTGAGACACAGTGAGTATCTGTGACCCTTCCTGGACTCCCTGGAAATTACCTCAGTCTTCTCCCTGGCACAGCAAAAGTGTATCAGCTCTGTGCAAGCATAGTCTTATAGGTCCTGAAACGTGCCCCAGAAACTTGCTGCTAATTCAGTCTCTATCATGCATTCATCTCTTTGTTGTATACACACACACATATATATGTGTGCGTGTGTGTGTGTAGATATATATATAAGCAATATAGAAGCAAACATGTGTATATATACGCACATATATATAGATATATAAATTTCCATGAACTTCTATTTACAGAACACTCATTTTCAGGCAGAACACACGCTCTTTATTTTCTGGAAAAACTACAAACATCTTTCCGGAGAGAACCTCTGAAAATTCCCACCATGTCATGGCTTCCCACCAAGGGTATTCATGCTCAAACACTTTCCTCACTGATCACTGCTATTCTCAAAGCCCTGCATTTCAGAGATTGGCTAGCTCTCGCACCTCAGTTTTTCCTCAAATCCTTCTTCACCCATTCCCAGACTTATGATCCCTTTGAAGATATGCAGAGAAAAATTCCCCTTCTCTTTTTTGCCAAGCAATATCCTTGTCCTCCTTCGAATCTTCTGGAAACTTACCTTTAACTCAACCATACATTGCTTTTGTTCTGTAGTATTGTTTCAGACTTTCTAGTCTGAACCTTCCTTATCTGTCTCACTTTTCTTGAATTGAGTGTTTAAACTCCTTAATGCAGCAAATTAATATTTTCATGAATTTTTTTAAGTGTCATGTACCTTAGAAAAGTTATTTAATGACTGTATTACACATAAGCACTGTGTATTACCTTTCTATTCCGTTCAGTTTATGACGATGCTTTCGGGACATTAAGAGTCCTCCTCCCCAGGCAGCCTGAAAAAGACAGAAAAAGCTCAATATATTTTAATTTACTCAGAATCTAGTAATAAGTATTTTAATTCAAGACAAAACATGTGTAAACAAAGATCCTCCTTTGCCTGAATAGTAGCACTGCTTTAGTTACTCACATCTACATGGAGCCAGAGGTTGTATTTTTCACAGATATCTGCAATCTCCTGTATTGGATCAAAGGCTCCGTATACTGTTGTGCCTGCAGTTGCATTTACAAAAAGAGGAATGTATCCCTACAATAAAAATAAAAATATTAAATATAAATTCCAACCTCTTTCAGGGAAAAAAGTGAAAATAAATTCAGAAACTTTGTTTTCTTATTTTCCAGCCTAAAGAAGTTTCTCTTCCCATGTGAAAAGTACACGAGCAACAGTACAAACTAATTACATTCATGGTAAGAACAAACCCTGTTTTCATTGTACTGCAACCTCACAAAATTAACTAGCCAGAAGATAAAGAATATTATTTTGTCCATTCTCTTTCAGTGAGGAGATTTAACCATCTAGTAGAAGACTAGCAATAGCCAAATAAAGTTGAGACTTCTACAGCAGTATAAAGGCAATTTAATTAATTGTGATTTGTAAGATGCAATTTAAAGGCTTCGAATTGTTCCTTTAGTCTTTATCTACTAATAAACAGAACAAAGCAGAACAAAGAAATCCAAAACAAAAAGCAATAAATGTGGAATGCTCAGATCAAACAGACAAGTTTGAATTAGATTAAATAAATGTGAACTGCAATTTCATAGAGTGCCCAAATGCAAAGAAGTTAAGAAATAAAAATTAGTAATTTTGATTGTTCCAACTCTGGTCACTTTATACAAAATTAATGGATTTTTCACTGCATTGATTCAAGAGATAACAATGTTTGCCTGAAAAAATTAAGCTTACTGGCTATATTAAAAAACCCTTCAGCCTCACACATGAAATCTATAGGGTGTTTTACAGTTTCTATAGAATTTTTAATGCTTTTGGTTAAACTTTAAAGTTTGGATAGAAGTATCTTTAGTTTCATGCTTTCATGTGGGTTTTTTCCATATTTTACAAACAGAAAGTTGTTTTTAAAAATCATATAATACAGATGTAGCTCAAGACTCAAAAATACTTTGATTTTAAACAGAAAATGGAAACCTTAGCAAGACATATAGCTAATTCCCTAAACAATACAAGAATGCATAATTAAGCAGCTGAAAATACTATTATGACATTTACATCATTATAATGTTTTCTTTGATGTCAACCCTCAGACTTCAAAGGAAGAAGTAACTTTACTAAGCCAGGCATTTAAGCACTAATTTTTAAAAGCACAGACCTTTTGTTTTGCTTCCAGAATTTTTGCTTCCAAATCAGCTGGTATTATTTTGCCTCTGTAATTATTGTAGAAACAGAAAGACAAAGAAAATTAAAGAATGCATATGGAAATACTAGCTACAGTTGAAATAATTTAATAGGATTTTCTCAACAGGCCATTAGCAACTTGACACACTGTACTGAATCAGTCCTTAAACACAATACAACAAATTTAACAGGTGAACACATTTAATCTATCAAATCCTTAGCATTCATCCTACCTTTCATTGCATTTTATCAAAACAACATTGTCTGTTCCAAATCCAAGTGCAGCTCCAGCTTTCTTTATTGAGTAGTGGCTCTGCAGCAAACATAGGAACATTAAATGGAGTGGTGGTTTAATGACGAAGCATCTTCACAACATCTACCAATAAATTAAGAATTAGCAGTGTATTAAACTCACATGTTCTGAGGTAAAGAGAACCAGTTTAGGGACTGCAGCCATGCCTTTGGTTTTGACTTCAGGGAAATACTTGTAGCGTGCAGCCATTATGCTGTACATGTTGGAGATAGCTCCTCCTGTGAAGGAATAAATGAATGAATAACAAAACAGTGATAATGAAAAAATGCATATTATACCAAAGACATACAAGTCTCATTTGCATAATGCAGTGAAAAGTGGCAGTGAACTGTGAAAAAATACGTCTCTGAAATGCATGGTCATCTGTCTAAATAGCATAGGGACAGGGTCTCTAGAAAGCCACAGAGCTAGTCAGAACTTCCTGTCTATTGTGTCTTTCAATTGCTAACATTTTGTAACACATTCCTAAAAAGTTCAGCAAGAGCTGCTTTAGCATTACAACTTTTAGTGGATGCCAGGCACCCACCAAAGCCACTCTATCACTCCCCTTCTCAGCTGGACAGGGGAGAGAGACTGTAACAAAGGTTCATGAGTCAAGATAAGGAGCAGGAGAGATCACTCATCAAATACCTTTACGGGCAAAACAGACCCACGTTGGGGAAACCAAGTGAATTTACTACTAATTAAAATCAGAGCAGGATAATGAGAAATAAATCTTAAAAACACCTTCCCCCCCACCTCTCCCTCCTTTCCAAGCTCTACTTCCTCCCTGCCAGTGGTGCAGGGTGACAAGGAATGGAGGCTGTGGTCAGTTCATCACAAGTTGTTTCTGCCACTGCTCAGACAGAGGAGTCCTTCCCCTGCTCCAGCATGAGGTCTGTCCACAGGAGACAGTTCTTCATGAACTGCTCTGACATGGGACACTTTTCCACAGGGTGCAGTCCTTCAAGAACAGGCTGGTCCAGTGTGGCTCCCCCACAGGGTCACAAGTCCTACCAGGAAACCTGCTCTAGTGTGGGCTCCTCTCTCCATGGGTTCACATGTCCCTGCCCAGAGCCTACTCCATCACAGGCTTCCCATGGGTTCACAACCTCCTTGGGCATCCACCTGCACCGACATGGGTCTCCTCCATGGGCTACGGGTGGATCTCTACACTTTCCTTGACCTCCCTGGGCTGTCGGGGACAGCTGCTTCACCACGGTCTTCAACATGGTCTTCAACATGGTCTTCACCACAGGCTGCAGGGGAATCTCAGCTCCAGTGCCTGGAGTGCCTTCTTCTTCTCCTTCTTGACTGACCTTGGTGTCTGCAGAGTTCTTCCTCTCACATCTTCTCACTTCTCTAGCTGCAATTACCTCTGCACAATAACTTTTTACTTTTTTCCTTCCCTTTTCCTTAACTAGCGCCTCTGATAGGCTTGGCCTTGGCCAGCAGCAGGTCCGTCCTGGACCCACTGGCTTTGGCTCTGTCAGACATGGGGAAGCTTCTAGAACCTTCTCACAGAGGCCACGCCTGTAGCCCCACTGCTACCAAAACCTGGCCATGCAAACCCAACACACAAGAACAACAGGAATTTATCTTGTCTGAGACTGAAGAAATGTTGCATATTGGATGGATTTATCCCATCTTACTCTAAATATAGAAGTAGATTCCTACAGCTGAGCTAGTTATTCTAAACTTCCTTACAGTTAGTTACGGGAAAGAGGCATTTCACAGGCTGTGATTCAGCTAATCTATCTTGACACTTATTTTTGAAGAATTTGAATTGAGGCAAAGCACGTATTTCTTTTGGTTTGCTGCTAAAAAGAGCCCTGGATAATTAGCTCAGCTCTTCGATGCAGACCTCAAGCTTTAGTAAGATTAATTTTATCCATAAGTCTAGGACAATTTCTTCCTCTAACACTTTTTCATTGATGAGAAGACTGAGAAAGATCTGTATTTTACTAGCAGATAGGACTGGAGATCAAGCAAGTGTACGTTCCTGGACCTTATGTGGGCTGTTCCAAAAGAAGGTGGTATTGTCCTTTATCCTCTGTAACAGGATGGTGATCCCTCATGCCAAACCCAGAAATCTGGAGTTCTGCTAGGCATCCACGTTGTCCACACATTGACCTCTGATAAACCTCCACATGGCTTATCAGTCATTTCTGCCTCTGCTCACTGCCTTTATGTCACTTTCCAGGGAAGACATTCTCTCTTGGTCTTCATACTGGAATCATACTTGTGAATGCAGTCAGATTATGTCCCTGATAATGTGTCCCAGAAAGTGACAGGCAATCGTAGCCTTTTCCTGTCTGTGATCCCAAATCCTCACTGGCCACCAAAGAAGTCAGTACATGATTCACAAGAAGTATTGGTCAGCAGCTTTATGTCACTTTCCAGGGAAGACATTCTCTCTTGGTCTTCATACTGGAATCATACTTGTGAATGCAGTCAGATTATGTCCCTGATAATGTGTCCCAGAAAGTGACAGGCAATCGTAGCCTTTTCCTGTCTGTGATCCCAAATCCTCACTGGCCACCAAAGAAGTCAGTACATGATTCACAAGAAGTATTGGTCAGCAGAGCAGGAATGCAGTGCAAAAAAGAGGTGTTTAAATGCCCAGCTACGTACCAGAGCTTGTAGTCAAGTTTTAAAATGCTGAGCAGCCATAATACATAGCCATACTCCCCCCAACTTTTCTGTGGGATGTTTAAGCAAAGCATTCCTACTTCTGAATATCTGACTCATTGTTTTGTGTTGTAGATAGTGTGGATATTCAGGCATAGCATATGTTTATTTTAACTTTTTAAGTTTTAGTCAAATCATCAAAACAGAGAAGAAAAACTCACCAGGTGAGAATATTCCATCGCCATCTTTATTTGACCATCCAATAATCTCCCTCATCTTTCGAAGTGTTATTTGTTCCATGAGGACAAAAACAGGGGCAATTTCATAGGTAAACCTGCAGGGATAAAGCAAATAGACAAACAAAATCAGTCACAGATACTAGAAACACGCAATAAATTCCCAGTCTATGATTTTTTGTGGAAACACTCAAAGTTTCTAGAAGTTTTTTTATATAAACTGAGGCTCTGATACAGCTACCTTTACCCAAGCAAAAATCCTCAGGAAGACAAGAATGGAAGTACTGGTCAATAAAAACTGCAGTATTAGTTATTTTGCAACTTTCTATATAATGAATGTAAGACCTAACGTTCGCTATCATAGTGCTGCTGACTACAGTTTAGATTGTTCTGTAAATCACTTGTTTCCCAAAGTGTCAATTCCACACTTGTGGAATAACATACTGCCAAATCCTTATGAAAACAGTGAACTTCACTGAGCTAAACACAACCATAATTAAAAGTATTGAGCTAGGGTTTCAAAGTCTAAATACAATTAATTATGTGGATTTATTCTGTTGATGATCTCCAAGGACAACTTATTTCTACAATACAATGTGATCAATAACTGTCAAGAGTAATTATAAATGATGATTTTCTAATTACCAATTACCAAAACCAAGTCAGCAGTCAACTATTGTATCCACTTAATGAGGGCAGAAAACATTGCATAGCCTGGTATGCCCTGATGTCACAGTCAGATATGTGGATGGAAAGTGACAGCCACACAACCATTTTTGGTGATCAAGGTACATGAATAAATTGCCACTGCTGTAAACAAACTCTGCCTGCTGTGTATGGGGCACAAAAATTAAAAAGGAAGGGGGAAAAGGAAGCAGAGAAAAACAAAACAATCGACCTGTGATTTCCAAATGAATCTGTAAGAATATGACACCCTGACACTTCAGATCTGACTGATGTCTTTCACTTGAATAATTCTGTCAAAACATATGCATTGTCTCTCTAATACCAAAATGATACTTTGAGAATAGGTATGGCAAACTTGAAGGAGATATTAAGAAGGGAACAAGTGTCAGGAAAAGCTTGTCTTTTATTTACAGCTACACCGATTACTTAAAATGTTAAATTTTTTCTTCAATCCTTATGTGTCCTTAGTCCATCAGAGAAACAGCACCACCATTCCTTTAAGATAAAACAACACTTGTACTTTGTTTAACTGTTGTAATTGCTATTTTCAGAAGCCAAAATACTACTTATTTTATTATCATTAGAACTGCCAGAGACAGCTGAACACTGAGCTGAAGTTTGGGTGTTGCTTGTCTTTACAAATAGAAAAATGTAATAATTCAGTGTCTGCTTACAGTGGGGTTTGGTTTGGTTTGAAGCACTACAAGTCTAGAATATACTCCAATCTTTATTTAGGCAGAACGATCAACTGAAGTCAACAGGAACTCAGCAGTGCATACATAGATCACTGTACCTCAACACAAGATACGTTTAAGTCAATATGTTTTTTTCCCACCAGTTTAAACACATGTAGAATTCTGTCCTGAGACCTTGCACACTGATCCCTACATTCTTCCCAGGAGACTTATAGTCTTGTAGAAAAAACCGTATAAAGTTAAGCAAGTTTTTTGTATGTAAAATATCAAGTGTCCACAAGGGCAATTCTGAATAGATTTAAACACAAGTAAAATAGTACTTGTTTACTCTATTGTGTAATTATTTTCTGAGTCTTCAAAAACTTACAGGAAAGAAAAGACTGCAGATGATTATAAATCACGAGGCCAACGCAGCCATATTAGATGACTGCTATGATTTTACAGATCACATCTTGCTGAAGTTCACTCTTACTTGTTCTAAACCTCAATGGGTCTGAAAAATTCAGTAAAACCTAGAAAAGGTGTTGAGCTTAGAAGGAACTGTCCAACTTTAGAATCAACATATTGACAAAAAGTGGTGATTAGATTTTTATGGCAGTTACAACCTTTACAGGCATTTCTCTGAATTTCCTAAAACAGTTGTGTGTCTCAGCTCTCTACTAGCAGAATGGATCAATGGGATTTTTTGGTAGAGGCCAGTGCTGGCTTAATCCTGTTCTCACCTAAAGGGCAAATCACTTTATCACACCAGATCATTCTAGCTACCTATTCTCCTGTTTGCCAGTATGTAAAAAGCATTCTGAGAAAAAACACAGAGCCTTTTACATCAATTTTTTGTTTCATTTTCATAAGCACATATGCATAGTCCTGAAAATACCAATGCAATTCTCTTGTCTTGGCTAACAGTGGGCATAAATTTCATAAATTTCATAAATTCCAGATAATACTATTCCTTTCTAACCTCAGCTGGCTGTTGCACAGTGAGAGGATGCCCTGTACTACAGATGCCTAGAGCTGAATGAATAATGGCAACTTCTGAAATTTTCACCCTGAAGGTCTCATGATTAGTGACTGAGCTATGAATAGCACATTGATACATTATTTCCAAGTCAATGTGGGAAGATTATTATGTTTAATTTTTTTATATTATCTTCACAGTGACATTTAAGTAACATTTCCTAATGATAACTTAACATTTCAAGAGAGTATAGATGTTTCGATTGCTCAAATCTCATCTGAAAACACATTTTTAATCGTTCATAAATATTTTAAGTATTGTTTATCTGTAGAAAATAAAAAATACCAAATGCAAAATATTCTCCACCATTATTCAGTGCTGCTGTTCCTTGCACGTTATGTGCTTATGTAGCTGTAATAGGTTAGAACAGTTTCTAGGTAAAGGTCAAACCCTGCTCTTGTGTGCTGGAACACTGCTCAAAACAAATAATATGCTCCCCAGAGCTCACAGAGGTGATTTGGCTATTTTTAATAACCTTCTCTGTCAGTTCTTGGAATCATATTTTACAAACATCTTGCTTTAACCTTACTAGCCCTTACTGTGTTATTTGAAAGCACACCATGATGACCTTGGTCTGCTGAAAAAAAGAGAGCAATGTATTATTTTGCACTCACTAAACTTCATACAAGCAAATAGGTACTAAATTTTCATGCTTGCAGAGAAGGATTTTCAAGATCTGTTCTTGTTTAAAGCATGCATGGGTCAGAAACTAGCTTTACAGAAGTAACTATTTAACAATTTCTGTTTAAACCAAAGAAAATAGAAGCTCAATTAAAAAAAGAGTTAATCTTTTAAGTGAATTACTTAATGTAATGTTCTTAATAATTATGGCAATATTTCCTGATACTCTCAGAGTGACACAGAGCTGAATTCTACTATGTCCCATCAGACTTGTGTGATTTCACTGACTAGAAAAAGATAGCTAAATAGGGATAACCTAGCTAGTCAAAGGAAAAGTGGTTTGCAAAAAGTGACACTCTGAAGTAGTTTTTTGTCATAGAGAAACAATTTTTGAGCAAAGTTTTGTTTTAGAAATGTGATCAGAACTGTTCACTTTTAATTGTGCTGTTAAGAAAGGCACTTAAAAGCACTTTAAAGCACTTTCCAATACTTGTTTAACAATGAAAATATCATGTTGCTGGGTTTTCTTCACAACTGGCTTTTAAATCTGAATGTTTCATACCAATTCTTAGCAAATGGAGATGTTTGTTACAGAGAGCAGGCTGGTTTGGCTGGAGCACCTTAACTAGTTTTCTTTATTGCTATTGCCACAAAACAGGCACCACTCATAATCTACATAGAGCTGCTACTAATCAGATATACTTAATGAACCATATACTCATGGGTAGGCCACTGAAAATATTGTTCATTTCCCAATCTGCAGTGTGTTCTGACAATCAGCAACTACCCCAAACAGAGGTAGCTTTAGAGTTAAAACACATCCCATACAAGACTAAAACTGAGCAGTCTGCTACCTGCCAAGTATTTGGACTCCCATCACATTTTTAAGCATATAGAAATCAAAATCTAAATTAAAATTGGCTAGAAGGAAAATTGGTCCAAAAGAAGAAAAATAATTTCATGTTACTGTTCTAGAATAATCATGTTTTACTTACCATATGCTCTGGGATTTTTGCATTTCTATTTATCTATTCAACTATAGATACCTATTTTCACTGTATTAGTGTCACATTAAGAAAAACATGAGATGCAACAATCATCATTTAAATATGAAAACTGCACATGTCTGTGACAATACATATCTACCATGATACATGGCAGCCCCTGCCAGCACCAGTGATAGACACTGGCAACGAGACACTGCTTACATGTTTGTATTAGCAGTTGATGTCAGCCACTCTCCAGCCAAGCCAATAATGTCCAGTCCTGTGGACAGCTGATTGAAAAAGCGAGGATGACCTGGAAAGAGAAGTGAGAGTAACTTAGAACGAACTCCACCGGTATCTCTCAGTTTTCAATTTTACACCATACAACTGTTCTGACACCAAGGACAGTTTTGCACTCAAAACACTCTTGTAGCAAAGTTTTCAAAGCACGTCCAGGTTATGGGGAGATCGTTAGCCAACATTCATGGATGTCTTGTTAAAAACTTGAAAAACCGCTTTGGAGGAAGCTTGTGTATTGAATCATTGGTGTTTAAATTTAAAGAGAGAACATCAGAGTCCACTGAGCCTGTAAAACACCTCGGGGACCTGTGAAAGGCCCACCTGCAGAGCCCCCCTACCGACCTGACCTCCGTCGCGTTGTGACCTCGGGTGAGGGCTACACGGGTCAGAACATAGGTAGTAACAACCTGCAGGTGCTGGGTCCACTTGCATTTGAAAGAGAGGAAGGCTCAGCCGCTTGAAATGCTGCTGCAGGAGTGAGGGAGGGGTGCGGAGAATCCAGTCCCTTCCTGAGCCGCACAGCCCCGGGGGTGGTGGAATGTCCCAGCGGGGCACGACCCACTGCCGCGGGGCGCAAGGGCCCCCCAGAGCTCCTGGGCACGGCCGCTTGCCCACTCGGCTTAAAAGCTAGGATTCACCTCCTAAACAAAGGATTTGCTATTGAACCAAAGTCAACCATATTCCTATGTTTCATCCGAAGTTGCTATAACAACTTTTATAAGCAATAATCCCGACTGTTGGGGTCCACTTTTCTAGCATGAAAAGAAGAAATTCCTAAGAACTGATAACAGGCTTTGAGAGGAGAGGTGTCATGATTTAGCCCTTCTCTCTGGAAAAGGAGACGCAGTCAGTGCACTGCCCTAGAGAGGGGGTCACTGCTCGATGCCTGGAGGGACCCTGTCAGGTCGCATTCGGCTCAACACTAGGAACATCAGCGTCTTTTGACATGAAGAAATAAATGCGATTCTGCCCCGAGCGATGTCAG